TCCACAGCCAGGCAGCTACAACCCCCCAGGACAGCAATCCTACGCTGCACCTGTTCAGCAATTTTACTCTGCACCTGCCCAGCAGAATTATGATTCGGCGCCACAAGTTTCAAACGAATACCTTCCACCTGCATCAGCACCAGCCCCAGCCCCAGCACCACAAACTTTTTCAGCTCCACAACAGGAAGGTCCAAGAGAGACAGTACATGAGCATGGACACAATCTATCTGATCGAGATAATTTAAGTCAATCCGTAGTACAAACTTCCTCAGGTTATCAAGGCGAAAGTGTTGCTACAGTTCCAACTCCAAACCAGCAGTCTTACGAAGCTCCAGATGCAGCCCCTGCTCCTGAGTATTCACCACCCCAACAATCTTACTCGGCTCCGCCTCAGCAATCTTACTTGGCTCCTGCTCAACAATCGTACTCCGCGCCAGCTCAACAGTCGGGCTCGGCTCCTGCCCCAGCGCCAGTACATCAGCAATACTTACCCCCTGCACCTGAAAAACAACCACTTTTCACCCCAGCAGAGGGTAGCCGAGACCATTCCTCACCTCTTCAAGGTCCTGTTCAACAATCACACTCGACGCCGGCTCAAGAGTCCTACTCTGCCCCAGCTCCAACTCCTGTTAGCAATGAATACCTCCCACCAGCTCCAGTGAAACAAGCTGTGTTAGCACCGGAACCCGCTCCAACTCCTGTTGGTCATCAGTCTTATTCGGCCCCTGCACCAGCTCCAGCTTCAGTTACAGCTCCAGTCCAAGTGCAACAATCCCATGCTGGTCCAGCGCAAGCCGTAGTCAATCAACAGACTTACACAGCTTCATTCCCAGTCGCGGCACAACAGTCGTATCCCTCTCCAGCTCCAGTTAACAATGAATATCTACCACCGGCTATCGCACCAGCTGCCCCATCTTACCAAGTGCCAGCAGCGCCTTCTTATTCTGCTCCATTATCAAATCCATCTTACTCGGCTCCAGCAGCTCCCTCTTACTCAGCTCCAGCAGCTCCCTCTCACTCGGCACCACTAGCTCCTTCTTATTCCGCACAAGCGGGTCCCTCTTACTCAGCTCCTGCAGCTCCTACATACTCTGCTCCTGCTCCACAGTCTTACTCAGCGCCAGCTCCACAGTACCCTTCAGTTAGCCAGGAATACTTGCCACCAGCAACAAAGAGGTACTCAGCTCCAACACCAGCACCAGCTGCAGTCCGCACAAACAGCCATTCAGGTGGCGCTGTTGTGAGACAAACCGTCGAAAAAACGTCTTCAGGCTACCAATCAGGGAGTAATTCTCAAAGCCAAGCGCCTCAATACGAAACTGCCTCTGCTCCAGCATTGACTCCACAAGCTGGTCAAAGCTTTCACACCTCGTCACATGCCACGGCGCCGGAAGTCAACAATCAAGACTCTGGCACCGAATACGCCAGCAATGGCGGTTACGTGTACAGAAAAATAAAATAAACTGTAAAGCCGATGGAAAGTAGCGGATAGCTGTTGTTGCTACTCGTTTTCGTAGTTTTTAGTATTCGAATTTGCATTTAATCATCTTAATAGCTTTTTATAGCATCTTATTGCCATGATGTCAGCGCCATGCTGTCAATTTATTGTACCATAATAATTTTGCTTACTACTGTTATTACCTCATTTGTAAATAAAAACTTATCGCGTTAATAATATTCACACATATATTTACATATGTATATAAAAAAATACTAATATTTTGTTTTTTTGATTAATTATGAACGATTCCAGCTTTAGTTAGGGTTAACAATACCTCGGCGGTATGATTTATAGCATAAATAAATTTCCAAAATCCAATCCAGGTGTGCGTGTATAATGATCGGAGATGCTAGCACTAACGCAGCAACGAACGAGTTGACCGAGTGTGTTGAGTTCATCACTGTAACTTTGTCGTTCGTGGGTTCGAATACCAATAATTGCCAATCTTTTAAGGTCGAAGAAAATAGTTCTTAGCCACCTATTCTCAAAACTAACCTTAGATGGCCTTAGCTTTAACCAAAGATAGCCTTAACCTGAAACTCCCAGCACTACAGACTAATCCTAGAACTGCAAGAAGCTTCTGTAGATAGACCTACAACATCAGTTATCACAGCACCAAGAGCTGAAAAAGCTCTACCAAACATCCACCGTAGCCTCAAACACCTGTATAACTATCGAGCTGTGAATACACTAAACTCTAAACTAACCTAAAAAAAAAATTGTACACTCAACTAAAACCTGAATGAGTGAATTGCACTTTTTTATTTTCCTTATATATTATTTATAAATAAATAGCTGTCAAACCTTTGACTTTCCCCGCACAAGCGGCTTGGCAGCCACCACCAGCTCAGCATGCATTCACTATCAATATCTCAATACTTCAATTTCTCCAATACCATTCACTTGTTATCGCCGCGCTAGTAGGTGAAAATATTCCAGTTTAAGCGATCGCATCTGCATAATCGGCATCTAAAATGCATACTTGAATAGCTGAAATTGAAACGGCAGCAAGTAGAACAGCACTTTCCACTTTTTTCGGAAACTAGACAATCAACTAATTGGTGCAAATTTACCGGATAATAATATCTTTAGCTCATAATGAACTTGCGAGTCGCACTCCTGATATGACAACACGAAATTCGCAGACATCAAACGCTGCTCCTAAATTTTATATGTTTGTTGGTGATTACACTGTGCTGCAAAGAGTTTTCATTGAAATATTCGAAGGCAGATAAGGAATGCAAGCCTTTCTACTAACACTGGGTTTCGATTTCAAAAGAGAAGATCAGTTAATATTTGATAGAAAATATTTCAATGTTAGAGCTGTATTTGTCTGTGAAAAATTTATGAACTTTCAACTCATCAAATCGGTTTCAAATGGGCTACATCGTATGATATTCAAACCTCTCCTCGTGAACCACAGCACTAGGCACAGGCGTAAGAAATGATTATATTTCTTCGATTACCTCTGGTTTCATTTCATATTTGTGTTCTTAGCGTCGGTAATAGAGTTCTCATGACTCAGTTGACTTGCCTAATCCACATTCACCGTATGTTATTAACTTTAAGCTGTTATTTTTCAGTAACGAATTCAATGAATCCACTATAATTAGTACCCTTTTCACTAAATCAAGAAGTTTGTCATGAATACTTTGTTTAATATTGACTTTTAAAGGCTTAAGAGAGTCTGGTTTATTGCTAAATACCAAAGACTTCAAAAAACACCTCAAGAAGTTTAAATCACTACTTCTTGGTCATATAATGCTACAATTTCTTGAAATCTTCTTCTTCTTAATTGGCGTAGATACCGCTTACGGGATTATAGCCGAGTTAACAACAGCGCGCCAGTCGTTTCTTCTTTTCGCTACGTCGCGCCAATTGGATATTCCAAGCGTAGTAAGGTCCTTCTCCCCCTGGTCCTTCCAACTTCTTGAAAAAGGTTCTACTGAATTTTCGCGCAATATTTCGATTGTTACACGTGCAGTATGGCATGCAACCCCCTTTTGTTGGCACAATATGTTGTCAAGATCAATTTCTTTCAATTGCCGCCATAAAAAGTTGGTTATCATCGGAACGGTCTTCGTTCACAGTTTCAGAAGAAGTACGGACCGATGATTCCACCAGACCAAAAACCACCTCAAACTGTTAATCTAAGTGAATGATTTTTCATGAATAATTTGTAGATTTTCTGCGGACCAGAATCGAATTTTCTTAAATAAATCGTTATGGTTGTCAAGTTGTTCCAAGGCAAAATCACCAAATTCACAACGTTTAATGTGGCCCAATGACTTCAGTTCATAAGTCAGAACAATTTTAAACGGCTGCAAGCCCAAATCCTTTCTCAAAATCCACCATGTAGTTTCAGACAGTGCCAATTCTTGAGAATGCCTTGGAATCTAAAAATTGCGGTCCTACGCAATACTTGGCTGCCGGTTCTTTGTCTAATTGGCACTTGAAACATTGTATAAAGGAAATGTACGCTCGAAATTTTCAACCATTCGACGAAAAGCGAGCACAAGTGGATGATTGTTACGACAATAATTTCCGTTCTAAAACGTACTCTACGATTTCCTGAGAGGAAGTTAACTTCAGCAACAATATTGAAACTGTAGATTATATGGGACTGTTGCTGAAGAAGGTAATAATAAACTATATATGTATATTCTATCTTATAATATCAGTACTAAATTCATGATTTACTGTTTTGAAACCCAAAACCATTTACAATTCGAAGTAATTGGAGGTTGATATTAAATAATTCCCAAACAGAATGGGAAATCATAACTGTTTTAATTATCAGTTCTGCAGTCTACTCAAGAAGAAATGCCGTTAAGGAGAAATAATATATATTTAAAATAGACGAATCTTTAGCTCCAATGGGCAATTAAAAATTTTGACACTGTTCTGAAAGGCGAAAATTACAAAATGTATGAAGAGCATACGTAAAGCATTGCAGAAAATGGTAAGACTTATTCAACAAAAAAGTTCTATTCAATTTTGTGTACGGAATCTAATTTCTGATGCCGTAACTTTCAGAATGTTGGAAAAGGTCTTTGGTGATAATTTTTTGTCGCGAGCAAGTGTTTTGATTGATACAAATTATTCGAATCGAAATTATTCATTGCCGGCGAACTACGTCCAGAACGACCATCAACATCAACCCGTCAAAAAAATAAAGGAATTACTGAATGAGAATCGTTTAACAGTCAGAGAGAGAGAGAGATTGCCATCATTGGAATATCGGAAGGATCAGTAAAAACAATTTTGAAATATATTTTGGGCTAAAGAGAAGTGAAAGCACGATTGGTATCAAAACCACTCAATTCTTTCGAAAAATAGCGTCGAGTTATAGTATTTAAAACAATGCTTTCCGACTACCATAATATCATGAAAGGTATTATTACTGACGATGAGTGTTGGCTATCTATGCTTATGGCCCGTAAACAGGCGATGAATCGACCGTATGTCATGGCAAAGATGAGTCGAAACCAAAACCGATCAATCAAAGTTATATTGACAGATTTATTCGATTACCGAGGGATGGTGCACTTCGAATTCCTTCCTTCCTTCCGTAGATATGTATATATATGTACGTAAATAAGTCGATTTAGCCATGCCGGTCTGTCTGTATATACACGAACTAAGCCCTCATTTTTTGAGAGATCCAACTTAAATTTTGCTTTATCTTTTTGCTTATTTGGCGAAATCGCGGATATTGAACCATCATAAATATATATGTATGTATATATACAGATATATAGCATATAGTTATCGTACAGCTGGCGGATGAAACTCTAGTCCTTGCTTGGAAAATTGTTTGTCTTGCTCAGGTATCGTTTGGCAGAGATTTTGGTCAAAACCGGTGCCACAAGCTCCGCATATATCATTCAGATCTGTCTACTATAACATATTGTGCCCTTACAAACTTACCTATCAAAATCAAAAAAAAAATCTTTTTACATCCTTTTATGTACCAGTGAGGGTATTCTAGCTTCGATGAAGACGAATCCAACGGTTTTTCTTAACTTTCCTCGAAGACATTTAACACCGAACGCCAACTGAAGACTGGGAGCAAAGCTTGTGTTGCACGGTATATTTGCGTAATCCACTTCTAATATTTGTCTGCAAAGCTGTATTCGCAATGATCTTCATACAAAATATAAATAGAGTTTGACCACTAATTTTATTCCATTTAAAAATTCAAAGAAGATAATGCGAAAACACACAAAAAAAAATGATAAAAGATAGTCAAAAAAGGCATAAATCAGGTCTATAATATATTTAAATCTATTTTTTTAGAAATAACTAATAAAAGTTTTCGCAAATTAAAATGTGGTTTATCCATAACCTACCAGCAAACCCGCCGGCGTGACGCATGCGTTGCCATCAAACCACAACGCTCTAGTACAAAAGCACTCACTAGTGATTAATAGAGTTTTAGCCTTTTTAATGTTATTGTTTATATTTTCGGCGTCAATTTGAAATTAAAGACTTTTTTCATCGTTCTCTTGCAAGCGTATCAATTTTATATATATTTGTATGTGTGTGTGTTTGGGATGATTACTTTTTTACGAGTTATTTATGAAACGAGCTGAATGCTAGTACAGGATCCAGAATTTGTGGTAAATTAGCATAATATCTACATAGTTCTTGGAGAACTTATGCGTTTGACTATTTGCATGCAAATAAACGGACAGATGACCGGTGAAATTTTGTATAAATAAGCTGGCGAACGGAAGTGTGTTATTAGTTCAAGACACTTGATTGAGTTAAGTGTAGCCAGCCGTTAACGGAGCCACAATTAAAATGGTTAGTGTGAAGAAAAGGAGGAATATTGCACTTCAGTGCATAAAGTGTGTTTAAAAGTTCTGTGGAATAAATAATTTAAAAAATTAATTAATTGAAAAATTAATTTAATTAAAAAAATTAATTAATTTAAAAAATAAAAAAAAAAAA